TAGGCCCTCGATAAATCTCTGGTAATCATGTTCATCAACATTGAAAGCAGCTGAAGCGTGCCCACCTGGCATTGTTGATCACTCGTTCTTGTTTGCAAAGATAAGATGGAAGTGTTTGTGTGGCCATTAGAGCCAGTGCTTGCTGCTTAAATACTAAAAGAACTCGGGACGAAAGGCACGTTTTATTATGGGCAAAATAAAAGGTGTGAATGCATTCAATGATCGAGCAAACAAAAAGCACACGCTTCATTGTCGGTGAGCGGGTTCACTGCACAAGACGTACAAGACAAATTGGCAACATGGCTCACACTTCTCATGTGCTAAATGCTCCCCCCTAGAAGCTCTCTGCCCATCATGTTCTATCAACATTATTATATAATTTTTTATATTTTGATTTAAATTTTAATTAAAAAGTAAATATATTCAGAGTTTTGCTTCTTTTTTTTTTTAATTTCCTTACTTAATGGTTCAAGGACATTAGCTCATAAATGAAGTATGGTTAATAGTCCAGGCACGTAAGCACTATGTCATTGAAACTAATTTGGGTTTTAATTGTGTCACAATCCAAATCAGGAGTCGATTTGATAAAAAAAATTATTTATTTGATTTAATTTGGGGTAGACTCAAATCTAATTCATTTATTTTATTTAGTCAACTGATTGGGAAGAAAATTAAGGAATAAGGAGCGGCCTCTTATTTCATATATGTATTAATAAAATTTTAAAAAGGAGAAATACAGACCGAAGCAAATAAATATAACAAGGTTAAGCTTGTACTTTGATAAAAAGAAAACTCAAGTAGAAATAATCAGAAGCCCACCACCAGAGGGAATTAAGAAACAACAGATGATCCTTTGTATTTTTGTCATTTTGCAATCATTTTTCCCATTGGGTCAATTTATTCCCCACCTAGTCTCTTGCTCGATTTAATGACTTTCATAGAAAAGTATCTCTCTAGCTGCTTACCGGATATGACCAAAGGATCAGAGCACCCATATCGACCAACCATTTACGGATAATGGATGCATATATGGACAAATACAAAATTTAGAATAAAATTTTAATATATATTTATACGCATATTTCAGAATTCTAATATAAAAATTATATCATACTAAAATGCTACACATAGTATATTATTGAACATTTATAGGGTCAATAATTAAATTATCATAATTTATATAATAAAAATATAAATAAATTGAACAAAGCTGAATCCATTAATTCTATTGAATTCTAATTATGAAAAAACTGACTTCATGTATGTGTTCTTAAATGTCTTCCCGTAAGATTTCAAGATATAATCTTTAAAGACGTTGAAAGCAGAAAAGAGATCAACAAGCTTTCTTTGAATTATATTTTAATGAAGCATACCTTAATGGAGATAAATAGAGAAGGTGGATTGAAGAGTGTGTCACAATTGCTAAAGTCTCAATTTTGGTTAATGGGTTACCAACCAAACCGATTAATATGAAGACAGGCTTAAGATAAGGATGTCTCTTTTTTGCTGCAAAGACATAAAATATCATAATGAATAATTTCATTAGAAATGAAATTAAAGGACAAAGGTCCAAGATATTCTCACTTGAATATTGAATGAGAAAACTGTTTTAAATCCCATAGAAATATGCATCTAATTAATCATAAATCATGCGATTACTTTAATATTCATTCGGCTATAAGTTTATGCTATTAAACTCAATTGCAAAAGTCAATTAAATAAATTCATATCTTTTTATTGTATCCAATTAAATCTATTTTCCGATATGTAAGAGTATTTTTGGATGAAATGCATTGATGACCATTAACCCTTTAGCATGTTAACATTTATAGGACACATGAAAAATATGATATTGCAATAAAAACGACATGAATTTTAAAGTTAAGAATTGAATTTTGGGTTTTGGCAGGTGGATTCTTTAAAAGAGGTGATAGGCAGTGTATTATTCCGTGAGTGCTGATTTTTTGGCAAAGGAAGGTACAAGGAGAGAAGAGTTTTTATTGGATATTGTCATTACCTTGTTTTTTTTTTTTTTTTTAAGAAAAAGAATCACTTATTGTAAACCTTGAACTAATGGAGGTAATTCGTTTTATATATATATTGCTCTTGCAAAACATTGTAGTCATTGGAAATTTAGAAGTAGAGGTATACGTTGATCCTTTCATGAATTCGACAACTTCCATATAAAACAAAAGCTCAGCAGATGAAGATTATCATTATCCCCTTAATAAACAAAGGCATTTGTTTGGTTAATTGATTGTTAGCCAACTTTATGGAAATCAAATTATTATTATTATATTTCAAAACTAACGATGACACAACTCTTGCAATATATATATATATATATATATATATAACGATATTCCTTCCCTTCCCACCCCAATTATTTACAATGTATCCCAACCAACAAATAGACAGGTAAGGTTGGGCAATGGGAGTGTTGCTTCCACCATTACTCGCAAGTGACGGATACTTGCACTTCACCATATTCACCATATATGCTCTTGGTTTGGGTTTCGACCACTGCATCAAAGTATGCACTTCCCTTGGCAATTGGTCATCAGATGACAACGTATCATAATTCCACAAATCTATGGTGATTGTTAATCCGGAATTCACTGGTGCTACCACAACCGAACGAGTCAAGGGAATAGATTGATTGGGACTCACTTGGACACATTCACCGGATGATTTCTCAAACAATGTGAGGGATGTCTTTGATCCCCCTATAACCTGCGAAGCTTTGATTGTTCCATACATATCCGCTGGCGATTCATTATCCCCTTTGATCAGCAAAACATTGACGGTGGCATTGAGAGCATAACTTACTGCGGAGTAACCCTACCATATTGACCAAACACAATCTCCTCCAAACGCTTGTTGTAATTGGCGAATGCTAGATTCTCAACTCTTGGCTCCCACACGATGTCGCCTTGAGCAATCTCGTTGCTGGCGGACAAACTGTCATGGTCCCACAAATTGACGCTGATAACAAATACACCATAGCCCGAAATAGCGTCAGAAGGGCCTGTCAATGTGGCAAATTCGCCAGGACCTTTGCTCTCGTAGTCACGTGAACTACGATCATACACCGTGTGAAAACCCCAAAAGTCTGACCTTCACAGTTCCGTAGAGGTGACTAGGAGTCTGTTTATCAATATTGGTCACGCGTACATACTCGATGCTCACCAAGGTACGCTGGTATGAAACATTCGAACCAGCAGCAGCAACAGCAGCAGTATCCGCAATTGAAGTGTGCCCTCATGCCATTGTTGATCACGAGCTCTTGGTTGAAAAGATAAGATGGAAGTGTTTGTGCGGCCATTAGACCCAGTGCTTGCTGCTTAAATACTGAAAGAACTCGTGACAAAAGGCAGGTTTTAATATGGGCAAAATAAAAGGTATGAAGGCATTCAATGTTTGAGCAAACAAAAAGGGCAGGTTTTATTATGGAAGAAAATAAAAGGTATGAATGCATTTAATATTTGAGCAAACAAAAAGGTAACGATTTATTATGGGTAAAATAAAAGGAACGAATGCATTCAATGTTTGAGACAGAAAACAAAAAAAAAGCTTCACTGTACAAGACAAATTGACATCATGGCTCACACTTCTCATGTGCTAATAAAGCTCCCTCTAGAAGCTCTTCGGCCATCATGGGTTATCAACATTATTATATACTTTTTATATATTTGATTTAAATTTTAATTGAAAGATAAATATATTAAGAGTGTTTCTTTTTTTTAATTAATTTCCTTTAAAAAAATTAAACCTAATGATCCAAGGACATGAGCTCGTAGGTTTAGTATGGATAATGGTCCAGGCATGTCCACCAACCATTTTTCCGATAATGGATGCATATAAAAATATCCACAATAATGGTCATCAAGAGTCTTTAGTCTATGAGGGACTTAAGACTCAAAAATGGCAGGCTGAATGGCTGAATCAATAAAATACCATCTTTCAAAAAAAAAAAAATGATCTTCACGTCATTTATTCTCCAGCCCAAAGCAGGAGACCAACTGAAACACTTCTTACATTCTATTTCATCTAATAATCTCTGCACATGTTCCAGTTCTTCTCTTGCCTTTGTGAGCCAGTCCTCTACTTCATGCTCAATTACCTCAGTTTGCCTTCAAGCTTCCTCATTCACCTCATTCTGTAGCCTATCAATTGCTAACTCAAGTTTTTGGCTTTGATTACAGATATCTTCAACGATTTTGCCAAAACAGAAGAAGTAACGCGCATAAGCTGTTTCTGTGTTACACTGCCCAATTTCCCAGAGTGGCAGAAGCAACAGAGGTTGCAAATTCTGCAGCCATTCACTGATGACAGAGGTTGACGAACAGGTTTTTCTTGAGTTAAAGCAGTAACAGGAAGACAAAAGAAGTTATAAAGATTAACTAGAAACATAATCATAAAAATACCGCAGAAGGTGGAAATAAAAATATCTCTCACGTTAAGTTCAAAAAAATTACTTAATTTGGAGATAGAAAATAAGTGTCACTGCATTCAAACTTGCAAATATATACTCAAATGGAAAAGAGGAGGAAGAACAGTTACATACCAAGGATATATGTATGAACTTCGAGGAGCCAAGACAGCTTCTATTTTGATCCATGCAAAATATATTACAGACACTAACAAAGTCGGTGTGCATGTTTTTTTTTTTTTAGTTCAAAGAAACTGATGCAGAAATCAACTTTGCATACACTGCAATGATCAAAAGGCCATGAAATTAGAAAACAACAGACTTTCACTTATCTTCTTTTGAATGCCTGTAGATAATTCTGCTTCTGATAACCAAAACAGTAGTTGAATATAGAAAGTAAACTCTTAAGGCAAAGACTTCTTTTCTTTCGAATCTCTCTGCTTCACACAAATGCCAAGTGTGGAGTGTAACTGTAGAAGATCACAAGAATTAATTTGGACATACAAAATAATTTAGTGCCAATTTTGCAGGTAAGGTTTGCAGATGTATACTCAAATGCCAAAAGCCAAGACAAAAATAATCCATAGATGAAAAATATGCACATATATACCAAGGAAACATGAACTTTCCGGAGCCAAGGCTAAGCTTCTATTTTGATCAAAGAAAACTCCAAGTAGAAATCAACTTTGCACTACAATAATTAGAAGCCCCCTAGCAGAGGGAATTAGGAAACAACAGTTGATTCTTCTCCAGCTAGCAAAAACACTTGAAAATAGAAAATTTTGAATAATTGATGTAATTTATATTTTTGTCATTTTGCAGTCATTTTTCCCTTGCAGCCCATTTATTTCTGATCTACTTGCCTGGTCGGTTTAATGGCTTTCATGGAAAAATATCTCTCTACCTACTTACTGAATATGACCAAAGGATTAAAGCACCAATATCAACCAAACAATATCAACCAACCATTTTAGGGATAATGGATGCGAACATGGACAAATATAAAAATATCCATAATTACTGGTAAAAAAAAAAAGTGTAAAAATGATGACAATATATAGTAAATGTTGGAAATAGAAATTAACTAAACGTTCTTGCAAAAGATGGTCTTGTATCAAAGATCAAAGGCTGATGAGAAAAGCTTATATCAAACTAAATGTTAGCAACAGCATCAGTTTCAATTGAGACAAGATGCACAGAAAACAGCAAGTGAAACAATACTAGGAGGAAGAAGATCTATAGGAGAGAAAGCAGAATTCTAGGATGTTACAACTTTACACTGGTGCCCAGAGCAGCCTAAACATATTGCAAGAAGATTCACAACACAGTAAATTCTGAACAGAGCTTGTAATATCCTCTTTCCTTTTATAACCAGCGAGCAAGGTTGGGCAAGGAGAGTGTTGCTTCCTCAATTACTCGCAAGTGACGGATACCTGCACTTCACCATATTGACTGTATATGCTCTTGATTTGGGTTCCAACCACTGCATCAAAGTGCACACTTCCCTTCGCAATTTGGTTATCAGGTGACAGCGTATCATAATTCCACAAATCTGCCGTGATTGTTAACCCGGAACTCGCTGGTGCTACCACAACTGAACGAGTCAAGGGAATAGATTGATTGGGACTCACTTGGAAGTATTCACCCGATGATTTCTCAAACAATGTGAGGGATGTCTCATATTCCCCTATAACCTGTGAAGCTTTGATTGTTCCAGACACATCCTCTGGCAATTCATTATCCCGGTTGATCAACAAAACATTGACAGTGGCGTTAAGAGCATATCTGACTACGGAGTAACCCACCGTAACACTGCCATATTGACCAAACACAACCTTCTCCAAACGCTTGTCGTAATTGGCAAAAGTTAGATTCT